TTTTTTTTTTTTTTTTAATATGGCTTTTTACTATTATTAAATCGAAAAATGTTATGCAACTTAATTTATTGTTTTAAAAGAAAATTACCAAGGAAACATGATGTTAATGTCTAAACAATGTCCTGTTGAATGTTTACYGTTATCATATTTTCTGGGTTTACTGTGACTTTTTAATCTTTTTACCCCATTATACGTTTTTAGGCTGGATGAAGCAGCAGTGAAGGTGGAGGGGAAGGAACAAGCAGCACATGTGGTGGCACAAGGAGTGTGCTGCAGTCTGGTGGTAACCAAGCTCTGCCAGCTCATTTCCCTGGCTGGCCCTGCATGTGGTGCCATGTGATCTCAGAGCTGTCTAATTCCCTCATGATCATCACGTGTCTTTCTGCTCCTTTTGATCCATCAAAGCAATGAACTTCAATGTGCCTTTGCCTGTCTCAGTATTTATGAGTGCTTCTTCAGTACTGTGGGAGCAAAACTCTGTGTCTGAACAATCATTAAGAGTATTGMAACACCCTACTTGAAGTATTTCCCAAGACAACTTTCTCAAACAGCTGATATCTCCAGTGTTTTACACCTCTAGGAATTCTTTGTAGGTTCAGACCTGATGCTGCTGAATGCCTCCTAAGGTGCCCTGGAATATCCTGTTGAGCCTTCCAGCTGCTGTTCTAGGATAACACAGGCCTTCTGTACAGCCCAGGCCACATCAACCAACCCCCTTTGAATGTCTGGGATTCTTTACAATGTCCTGAATAGTGGACAAGTGAATTCAGCAATTCACCTTTCAATGTCTATTAACAGCTCATGGTGCTCTAATTAGACTGGGGAACCTGATCAAACTCACCCCACAGAAGACACTCAGTGGCTGCTGTACCATATTAACTGCATGCTTCATTAACTGCATTTACCAGGGATTCAGCTGCCTGAGCTTCTAGTGTCACCAGAGATGTCCCTGCACATCCTGCCTGGCCATCAGATTATGCTGCAGAAGGGTGTCGTGCCAGCCCCATCTAGGTGTCCTGGAWACCCTATGGCATCTCGAATGCCACTAGACAACCTACATTTAAGCAAGGAAAGCCTTAACTCTCTGAAATAAACACCTAGCTTAAACCAACAGGTACCTACATTTAGGTGAGTTCACCTCCCAAGAACCTCAGCACTAACACCGTCTAATACAATCTAGAATAGAGTTCTTTCTAGTCATGATACTGGTATCATTGTTGATACATCATTCAGGGAACACCACACATAAGACTCGTTTGAAACACTTTCAGTTTCCACCTTGTACCAGTTATGCATTGCGAAGAATTCAGTTGTGATTTTCATTGTTTCTTCAAGATGCATATAGACTGGATAGACATTATTACTTGCTTTTTGTCCTCTAAATTGGGACAAGAATATTTGGAATTTTAGATGCTGGCTTTTTTTTTTTTTTTTTTTTTTTTTTTTTTTTTTTTTTTTTTTTTTTTTTTTTTTTAGTTTTTTTTTTTTTTTTTTTATCATTGCTACAAAGCAATAAAAATGTATCTTTTCATGGTTGCTGTCAAGGTTCTGATCAGCCAAATCCTGCATTCACTGTTTTCACGGATAACGGACACGGTTTGATACAGGGTGAGAAAATTAACCTCCTCCACCAAGACTGCCAGAAAACTCCTGCCTTTCTTGATTTCACGAGGACCATGCAGAATGACTCCCCAGCCCGCCTGCTGGCCACTCCCGATGGACAGACAGAGCTCTTTGTGTCCGGACACAGGGCGGGCCCCGCTGCCCGGCCCTCTCCCCACATCCCGGCTCCCGGCAGCGCCGCACTCCGGTGCTGGGGGACAGTGGGCAGCGCACAGCGAGGAGGCAGCCGAGGGACTGCTTCACTTGAGCTGCGGAGCCGGCGGACCTCGCTGTCCCGCGGGTTTGCTGTGCTCTCCGCGGGCTGAGGCACACACCGCCCGCGCCGCCCGGCCCCACACACCGCCCGCCCCGCTGGCCTCACACACCGCCCGTCCCCCGCTGGCCCCACACACCGCCGGCTGAGGCACACACCGCCGGCTGAGGCACACACCGCCGGCTGAGGCACACACCGCCGGCTGAGGCACACACCGCCGGCTGAGG